CAGCTCCCATGTCAGAGGATGAAGAGAGCACATCCAGCCAGTCACAGTCAGAGAAACAGGACTACACTGGAAAACAGGCCAATTTCAAACAAAGGTGTTGATGGCAGCAGCACAGCTGATATTTTTCCACAGGATGGAGTCACAGCCAAACATCTCCTATAGCATTATTAAAAAATCTTATGGGTTACAGTTGCTAAAACATAATAATATTAGTAATGATAAACTTATCCCTGGTATTTCATGTTTTTAAAAGATTATGTATTTTTAAATAAAAGGATATTATCACAGACACAACAGGCCTGCATAAAAAAACAACTAAAAACTAACGAATAACTCAGAAAAAAGTGCAGATGAGACAAAGCTTTCTTCAGTCAAAATAGAAGACAGAAAAAGATAATGTTGAGATAAGATAAATTAAGGAATGCCCTTTGGAGATATGTCATTTAGCCCTAAAAAGGGTTGCAATCCCCTGCCCCTCAAAAAAAAACAAAACAACAATGTTAAAGTAGTGCTATTCTTACTTATGTCAAATTTTGGGTGACGTCTGCAAACGCCTGATGTTTAATAAAGTTCAGAAAGGATCACTTTAAGGCATATGAGCCTGCCATATGGACACAGGTGTTTTTATAACACATTGTACTGACATGATTAGCCACAGGAGATGATAGAAGGATTGTATGTCTTGGATTTGCACTGAATTGTGTGGAGTCACAGGGGAGCGCCCCACCCTGCCTATATGAACAATCAGTGTTCTTCTACTGCCAACAAAATCATCCATTTGATCCACGACTTCAATGATCGCAGCAGATGTTTAATTATTTCCCTATTGGTTGTTTTCTTTAGGTGATTGTTTTTTTACTGACACAAAAGTTGAGAGAACAATCAGACTTTACTAACAAAATGAAAAGCAGGCTACTGACATTCAGATTAAAATTCCAGGTTTTTATTTTTTATTTCAATGTCTCTTCAGATGAAGCTCAGAGAACCAGTCCAGAGCTGCTGGCGGCCCTGCAGTCCCTGGGAGAAAACGAGGACTACACTCTGCTGCCTCACTCCCTGCACCAGGTGTGTGTTTGTGTGGTTGAACATACGAGAAAAACAGGGAGCAACATATTCTTCCAAATCCACGGGGAATACAATGTGTCTTTATTTAGCCTGACAGAACAGCTTTGTGTGTCTTTGTGTGTGTTAGTGTGTTCGTCAGTGGATACGCCTGTGCTCCTGTAATTGAGGGATGTTTGTCTCTGTTAGCCATGCATAGAAAATTTGTATTTTCCATGTTTATTCAACGGGTCTCAGGGTTGGTTTGCATTCAATATGCTTATTAAACATAAAAGAAACATTTATAATCTGTGTCTAAAAATATCTTTCTCCAAATGAAATTAGAAAAGAGAGAAGTAGCTTTTTGTTGTGCATTGAAGGGTATTTTTATAGGTTCAGTTTGCTTTTCCTTTCTCTTTAACACTTAGATATTTAGATAATTGAACATAGTTTGAAACAAGCTATCCAAATAGGCCTGACCCAGAAAAATGGAGAACCCCTTATGTTATATGTTTTTGGAAAAATGTAAAGTATTCAGGGATCCAGGTTTGTTTTACTTGATGTCCAAAATCATCCTAAAACTTGCCCAGCTCTACAGAAATTTAGCCCAAATCTCACCTCCTCTTGTCTCCTCCATTAAAAGCTTCAAACTCTGAAGCATTCTTTTAAAACATCAAGTTGTGCTTGTTACAATAAGCCTGGGATCATGGTCTGGGACAGTGGCAAACAAATAATTTAGCTCATTTCCTTTTTCCTTTTTTATATATTTCTTATTTTTTCACTTCTACAAAATGCTGTCGCTCAGTTTGAAGTCAAAGTCCAACAGTAAAGGTATACTGGCTGAGGCAATGTAAACCCCATGCAAACAAATTATTCTCTAAAAAATTTTAAGTCCTGCAAACACAAAAATGAGAATAGCGAACGTAAAAGTAAGACTTACGAAAGAAAAGAAACAACATGTACAGAGAAAAAAATGCTTCAAAATGCTATAATAAGCAGCAAAGGGAAAACACCCTGCAAAAACATAAAAGATTTTAACACACAAAACATGTACAAAAGAAGAAATGCAGCAAGCAGCATAAATAACTGCAGCTGAAGGAAAGCTGCAAACTAGCTCTTCATAATGGTTGGGGTCCAGACCACAAGGGGGAGACGATCATTTCTGAACACGCAGTGGTTTTGTCACCAGGTTTTTTTTTTGCACGTGTTTTGTATCCTAGCTTTATGTATTTGCAGTGGGTATTTGTGTTGTCCCTCCTCTTTGCAGCCCTCTATTTTTTGTGAATGCCGTTTTTCTCCTTTACATTTTTTTTTCTTTTGCACGTTTCTTTGTGCATTTGTTAAAGTTTTTTGATTGCAAATGTTTTTTTATTTTATTTGTTGAACTTCTTCAATTTGCTTTAAAATCTCCACCTCTACCATTTGATTTCAGCCACCAATCTTATTGCAGCTTAGTTGAACTCATCCCCTCATTGGATTGTAGACACTTAATTAATCAAAGCACATTTACCACGAATTTATAATATCAGGTGTAACACAATCTTTACAAAAATAAATAAACCAATGATTGCATGTACATACTTTATTGAAATGTTTTTTTTTACTTTTTGATTAAGTTTTCGCAAAATTCTCTAAAAAGCAGCCCAAAGTTTAACAACCATCCCAAAGCTACTGTTTTAACTCTATCACAGCTTGTTCAAAAGAGGCCTGGGCAGAAACCGGACCAATCTGGAAATACTGACCACTTTCTTAAGTTCTTTGAATTTTTCTTGTCTTGGAACTTGATGCAGGCTTAACTGCCTTAAAAGCAGCACATGATGTGACTCCAGCAAACCACAGTGCATAAACATCCATAACGAGAGAAAACATAGCCAGACTAGAGTGGCGTAAAAAAAAACTTAAAAAGGATCCATTTTAAGCAGTACAGACATCAATTGCTCCAGATAAGGTCAGAGTTCAGAATGTTAACGATAAAGAACCTGGCCATCAAATGCCATTAATCTAACACTAAACCAACTGCTGATCAAAAAGCCTGTTTAGTGAGACGTTATATATTATATATAAACCTTCTAAATAGTGCTTTGCAACATATTTCTATTAAATTTTCAATTTCTTTCCACAATTTTTGAGCAGCAACTATAAAGCCCTGTCTCCTCTGAGCCACCGTTTGGACCTCCGTACCTCCAGGAGCAGCAGGTCAGTTCAGAGAGGTAGGCGGGGGCCTAGCCATTTAAAGCCTTAAAAACAAATAAAAGAATCTTAGAATGATCTCTAAAATGAACAGGCAACCAGGAAGTGCTCCCTTTAGATACTCCAGTTAAAAGGGATGTGGCTGCATTTTGCACCAACTGGAGATGTGTGAGGGACGACTGGCTCACTGCAAAATAAAGTGCATTAGTGAATCATGGTTAGGGACTGGTTTGCTGTTTTAGGACTCGGACAGTGTGCTGCAACTGATGGAACCATGAGTTCAGTAAAACCTAAACCAGACTTTACTTTTTGCCCTTAAACTCAGGATCACTTTGTTAAGGAAAACAGGAAAGAGTGTGGGTGGGGAGACTGTATTCGTCCGATATAAGATTACATGTTGCCTTTTGATCTGATATTTTTTGTTCGCAGTGCTTTTTGTATATCCTGCTTTTGCAGTATGTTTACACCTCTCAGCCACCATAGTTTTAGGACTTCTCTCAATTGTTCGTGCTGGAAAACCCTCCAGAATGGCTGAATAGAAACTAAGAATGTTACATTCCACAGCAATGTAAACGTATTTATTGACGGTTATTCCACCCAAGGATGACACAGGCAGCTATTAGGGTTGGAGGACAGTTAGCATTTGACAAAAAAGCAGAGTTGGATTGAAAACAATTCAGAATTGTTTTTTGTGTATATTCAGGTTGTAGCTGATCGTAAAATTTATTTTTTGATCTGAAAAATTAAAGTGTGCATAAACAAGCAGTACATGGGTTATCTGGAAAAGAGATTGATGTTTAAGCTAAAATTCCTCTTTTTTTTGCACCTCTTTCAGCAGCCAGCCTTCTCTCCCCAGCTAACAAATTGCAGGTTTAAACAGCCACTCCAATTAAAATAGTTTCTTAAATTAGACACAAGTCTATTTCTACTGTTTATTGAGAAGAATCCCAGTGAACAAGCAGCAGTTTCATGGTACCAGTATAAAACAGTCTAGACCGCAGTTTCCTCCCCACACTCACAACATGAGTAATTTGTCACCATTGTTGACGAGTTTGCAGTTTACTTTGTGTTGCTGCCAGCTGCAGCAGTCAGAGCACAGAAAAGGAGCTGTTTTCCTGTAGTTAATGAGAAATAGTGAGTCACAGGTCACTTAACAAAAACTATACTTTGAAGCATGCAACACTGTCCCCTGTGCTTTTCCCATGCAGATTATTTCATGTTTTGACTTAATATGTTTAAAAATAGAAACCCCAAATAAGGCTTTTTGAATGAAGACTAGGGAATCTAAATGCTGTACATGTGGGCTGCCCACCATGAGTGAGAAGAAAATTGAAATATTAAAGCAGCTTAATAACGTTATTTTTTTAAATTATTTTATAATTAGTTTTCCACAGTACAACCACTATGTCACAGACCAACACAAAATAGTCCTTCATGGTAATGTGGATGGAAAAAAAGCACATAGGAAAGTTATAGGAGGCAACTATACTGTATTAACTGTACTGTATTAAATTCAGTTAGCAGTGTTTTTAAAGGCATGTTTCTTTTAGGCTATGTTTGTTTCTACTCTGCACTCTCCAAATTGTATAAAATGTATTCCCAGATTCCCTAGTCCCCCCCAGTATCTGACTGAACTCCTCCAAATCCATGCCCCTGCCAGAACACTGAGATCCTCCAATCAGCTGCTACTAGCCACGCCTTAAATCAGACTTGTGCCTTTGTGGCAGCGGCACCAAGGCTCTGGAACAAACTGCCCTGACACATTCGATCTGCAAGAACTTTTGAGGTTTTTAAATCCTCCCTAAAAACAAACTTCTTCTCCCTGGCTTTTAATCAAGTCTAAGTGGACATCTGGCAAAAAAAAATTTATTTACATTTTTTATTTAAATTCTAACTTATTTTATTCTATTTTATTGCATTATTTTTATATAGCTTTTAAGTTTTTACCTTATTTCCCGCAATGGTGATATCTGTACAGCCCGATATCACAGTCTTGGTCAACTTGGTCCCAGTTGTTTTAAATGTGCTATAAAAATAAAGTTTGAGTTGAGATTCACAGAGAGAGCTTCTGTGAACAGATTTTTTTGTGCAGAATTTTATCTGCAGTTTCTCAGCTAGATTTCCTCTGAACTTTGACTAGACCACTTTGACGCATTATCATGCTTTTGTTGTAAATCTGGACATATTTGTACTGGCCTGATGAGAGGTGAACCTCTGTCTTTTTGCTCTCTCAGAGAAAAACTTTCCAATTATAGTTGTAAAATGTTATTTTCCCAATTATGCTCAGTGTCACTTAAAGAAGCACATCCCCAAAGCTGTCAGCACTATGTTTCAGTGCCATGATGGAGGTTTAGGGTGGTGCACATAGTTAGTTTTCTCATGTAGCCAAATCCATGAAGCTAACTGTTTCCCTTATATAGTTTGGAGCAAACTACAACCTGTTTCCCACCTGAGCGCTAGATTTCTGCAGCTCCTCCAGGGATAATGAGGGTCTCTGGGTTTCTTACGTGATTGACTCTCTCCTTGCACAGCCTGTCAGTTTAGTTAAACTGCTAGGTTTTAGTAAGTTTGCAGTTTTGCCAAACTGGCTCCAGTTGCTTTATTAGAAATTGTCTAAATCTAAATTAGTTTGACTGGTTTTGATAATAATTATTATATCACAACATGGAAAATGTTTTAGGGATGTGAACAAAGCGTGGTGGCTAATGAAGAATGGACTTAGGGTTTGTTTGTGTCACAACTACTCCTTGTTGGTTTCACACCACTGTCAGAGTGTTAGAATGATTTATGGGGGGGTGGGGTTTCTTTATATCTGAGAAGAAAACCTCTTACACATTCTGCCTGAAAGTCAGCCAATGACGCACCCATGAAAATTTAAAATCCTGTAAAATCTATAGTCTGTTTTTCTCCTAATATGTTTCATATGCAATCATCTGTTTAATAACATAGAACATCAGATCAGGCAGGAATAAAACACCTTAATTCGGACCATAAGCACATTCATGTGACTCGTCTCTCACAGGGTGTCTGCATGCTCCGCTGTGCAGCTATGTGATCTGCATCTTTGAAAGGATTAGGTCAAAAACAGTCCGAGTTTCACAGGAAAAATGGCTCCAAAGAGTGTTCAATGATTTCCACTGTAATGTTAAAGAAACATGCTCTCACTTGACATTTTTTCTATCTCCATGGAATAACTTTAGGTAATAACCTGTATAACTTTAATCATGTCTTTCTCTTTTTCCCCTTTAAGATTGCAGAGACGTATTCCCTGAAGCAGGACTGTATCCTTTAAACTGCATATGTCTGCATAATGAAGTGAGAAAATTCCACTCATCTCTGTCTTACTTTCAACTGAATCGTGACATCAGCGAATGAGAAAGTGTGATATGAACCCTGGAATGAAAGGTTTCAGTCTCATTAGGCAGAGCAGGGATTTACTCTGTGGAAGGGTCACTGAGTGCAGCAGCCTGGAGATTCAGATGACTTTGTTTTTTATGCTCTCAGCGTCCATCCACAGGTAAAAAAAAGAGGAAATTCATAAATAGTGAATTTCAGAGACTCTATTGTCCAAAAGGCCTCTGTAATTGTTGATCTCTCTTTCAAACGTATCTTTGTCCGTCCTTTTTCATCCATTCATTGGCCTTACAGATGCTGGGTGTTTCCCATACTTTGGCTCAAAGCCTCAAGGCTTGCAGTTATAGTTTTCCCTGGTGATGTTTGTGCTGTTGCCCTGGAAACAGTCTGTTTTTTTCTGCAACAGGGTGTCGTGTTTATGTGTTTAAGTGATAGAAGAGTAAAAGAAGCTTAGAGAATTGGTAATGTATAGGGGAAGATGATGCATGATTCAGAAAGAAAAACATCTAAAAATGAAATGGAAGACGCAGGGAGAACTTTTAGAGGAAAAACCACAATAAGATTTACAGACTAAACTTATTTTAGCAAAAAACGGTTTTCTTATACATAAAACATGACCTTTAAGCAAAGCATTTGTTATTTACTCCACGCCTCTTTTTTAATGAAATCTAAATAAAAATTTTATACGTTTTTTGTCAGGTAGTAGGTGAAAAAAATGTGTTTGTGCCATGTTGTTCCAACCTACCTATGTGGCCTTTCAGCCCATGCTGGTTTATGACTGATATCTCAATAGATTATGAGCTCCCCTGAGTCATCTGATCTCCAATCAGAGGAGATGTGGAGCAGCTGAGGTAGAAGAAAAGGCAGGGAAACTAAAGCTGTGTCTGAATTTTATTTATTATTTGTTGCTGCTACAAACATATCCCATGATGCTTTGCGAGGAGAGCTCTCACAAAGCATTATGGAATATATCTATTTGTCTAGTGACCATGGATTATCACTACTTTTCAAGGTGCATTGTGGGAAACATTGAGTCCATTACTTTGTCATCCTGCAGACCAGGGGTCAGCAACTCAAACTGTTCAAAGAGCCATATTGGACAAAAGAAAAACAAAAAACAAATCTGGTGCCATAAAAATATAAAAGTCTTATATAAGCCTCGTATGGCAACACAAGCTCTAAGCGTATTAGCACGCTATAAAAAAGGACTACATGGGCTTAAATATATAATAAGCTTTCATAATTAAATGTTTATCCTGGAGCAAATGTCAAATGTGACTACTCTGCTGTATGAAATTTGGTGTTTTAAGGTTAAATTCCAAAGTAGCTCAAGGTGAGGGAGCAGCAGTGAATGCTCTCAACGCATGAAGTTCACAGCGCGGTGTGTATGAATTAGGTTTTGTTGCATTGATGAAATTATAGAACCGTTAAAAAAATCTGCAGGGGAAAAATGAAAGAATGTTCATATACCTGCACAAAAGCGCTACCTGTTTGATTAATAAATGGTTTTCCTTGCTTGCAACAAAACTAACTGCAGTAGGGGAGTTTGGAGATGCAATCCACTTCTTTAAATCTATCTGCACTACTGTAATTTATCCAGAAGTTCTGAAAATACATTTTCTCTCACTCCCCACTTGGTAGTCAGCTGCATATTTAGCATGCCCTCCAGCTTTTTATTTTTTATTTTATTTTTTCCAAATTACTCTTTTTATTTCTGACAACTTCCCTTTCCAAAGCAAAAATGCTGGCATTCCTTCCACATTGGTAATGAAAGCAAATGCTTCGCTCCATTCTCTGTTCTCATCAGCTATCTTCCTTTTTTTCCCCTTTGGGATTCATGACCGAGAAACAACAATCACTTTTTTTGCCTGGCACTGCACTGAAACATGTGTTCCAGGCTATAACGCAAATCTTCGATCACAGAAATGCTTACATTTATTGTTTAATTTATTTATTATACAATTCTTTACAGCATTATAAACATAACACACCATATTATAACAAATAAACCAAAAAATACATATTTTTTCCATTTTCATGGATTTTTGAAAAAGCTCCAGGGAGCCACAAGGGGGGCATTAAAGAGCCGCAATGCGGCGGCTCTATAGCCACGCGTTGCAGACCCCTACTCTGGACATTCAGACACTTATCTAAAAGGCTGTAACCACTATAAAGTGCCCTATATAGGGATTAGGGCGGACATTCAGTCACAGCCTAAGGGAGCACTATTGGATGGATGCTTCTCCTGCAGCTGTAAAATTCAGATGGTGCAGCGGGTTGCTGTAAAAATTCCCATAAAAGTGTAGACATATTTTCATAGAGCACTTTGGGATCCTTGTAACTCATTAATTTGCAACCACTGCCCACCTGGCTCCCCCTTTAAAGCCAACGTGAATCTCTGCTGTGATGGCTGCGTATGGCAGGATAAAACGCCACGAGGCAAAGCTTAAATCACTTCAGACTAGATTTATAGACACTGATCTACAACAGCCTCCACAGTCACCAGAGATCCAGACTCAGGAACACCTTTGGGATTTAGGGAATGGGATTTTCATTATGGATGAACTGCTGACAAATCAGCAGCAGACATGTGACATTATTGCATTAAAATGGACCAAAACTCTAAGAAATACCTCTGAAAACATTGTTAAATGCATGCTATAAATGATTAGAGGCGTTTTGAAGGCAGAATGGTGACCAACAAATTGCTGAGTAGGTGACTGTCAAATTTATTTAACTTTACTTGAATGTGCTTGTTTTTATAGCCCTGGAGAAAAAATTTAACTAAAACAAAAGATGCAGTGTGGCTGACGCCATTGTCTCCTCTAAAATAATGCTTTTTCTTTAACTGGCTTCACTATCAGACCGTTGGGCAATTCAGTTTCTACAGCTGGAGAAGCTCTACCATGAACGATTGCTCTCCAATCTCGCAGCCCTGCAGGAGAAATGGGGTACTGCATGCAAATGCTGTTTTCCAAATTGTAGTTTGTGTTTAAAAACTCTCACATTTAATACAGGAAATAGAAAAAAAAACCTAAAAATGACATAAAGGGAAGTGATGACCTGCCTTTTATTTGCATCCGTGTTTTTCAGAGATCGAGTTTAATGAAAAACGGGACTCTGCGAGTTGGATGCCTCCTGATGCAGACAGTATCAGTCAGAAACAAATTGAGAAGCTGAGCCACATCTGCAGGACGCACCACAGGTAAACATGAGAAAGGAAGCCGTCTCCTCTGCTCTTGTAACTGAAAACAGAAATAGTACCTCATAGACATTCCTCAGATACCATCAGCATTCATCCTGTTATCCTAATTACTGTCAGACAGGAAACTTTTAGAATCATTACTTCTTTTATATAATCACCTGGTATCTCTCTTCCTGATGTGCCCAAATCAGACATTTATAGAGCAAGACAAGTTACTTATATGGTTATGAATAGACATACCCATGGCAAGATAGCACTGTTTTTACTGAATCTGTTATGTCTGTAATATAATGAGGTCCAGGCTTCAGTCATTCTGTTTATGCCTGTATAATTCAACGGTGGTCAGGCTGCAAAGAAACAGAAAAATGTTTCAAAGAATCAGTTTAAATGAAGCTTGTAAAAAGTTAAAGATTTTCTACTAACAAATAAAGTCAAGACTCAGTAAAAATGGAAAATAGCTTTTATTTAGATGTTCGTAATAACTGAATTCTTGTATTGTACAGCAATATTTTCTTAAGGTGCATTTACACCGTATGATTTATGGGCATCAAAGCATCTGGTTTACATGCAAAGTCTATTATGCAGGATGGGGTCAAGCAGCGTGGAGAGGTCGTGCGGAGCGTCCTAGCATGGGGAGCAGCGCATCCGAGCGTTGGAGCGCCTCTGGTGTTCGATGCTTGGAGTTCAGAAATCTGAATATTTGCAGCTTGATGCTGAGCATCACCCAATCAGAAAAGCTGATTCTGGAGTTTTTTGGGGAGACACTACATGCAAGCTGATATTGCTTCTACAGAGCTGTCTGCATATGACAGATAAATAAGATAAAGGGATAAACATAACTAATGGATTTTTATGTACAAGGAAAAAAGAGCAAGCTCTGATAACTCACTACTCTAAGGCAGTTTCATACAATTAACTATGGTGAAACAGTTAATAAATACCTACATTATCAAAATAATTACAGAACCTGCAAATGAAAAATATTTAATTGTATGTTCTAGTATTTGCTTTTACCACAAACCTTAAAAACTCTTTATATTCACTTCAGTAGGAAATAGCCCACAGGCTGGAGGTCTGGCACTACGAACAAAAACTGGGTATTTTATTGGGATCAAAATTCTGATAAACTGAGAGCATAGATGATGTTCTGATGTGGACTATCTATCTTGCTTAAAAAATGTGTTAAAACTATTTTCCCAATGCATCATAGTAAATAAAGCCAAACTGCTAACTTGTTGCTACAGAACAGAACAGATAAACAACCAGAGCGTCTAGCATCCAGAGTGTTGAGGCACCAAAGCATCCTGACCAGTGTTAAACACAGCATCCAAGTTTTGCTGTTTAAGCGGTTTTGACACCCAGAGCCCGTTTGGTGTGAACGCACCTTTACAATGCCTAGACTTCGGATTATGCAGAGTAATTTAAACACATTTGCCTCCTCCAAAAAGATGCCCCTCTGAGGAAAGAGCCATATCGCCTACAGCAAAGATCTGTTCTGGGCAGGGCAAATAATATATCCACAGAACATTCATTTCCTTTTTTTTTTTAACAGTGTCCTGTCTGGCAATGTGGCAATAAGAATAATTGTCTTGATGCCAAAAAGAGCCCAACAGATTTTACTTTCACAAGTGGAGCAGTAGGGCTATCTGCATAGTGGTCCGCTTTATTAATGCATATAAATAGCTTTATTCTAATTATGCAGGGAGTTCTACAGATTATATGGACACTACAATATAAGTAGAACATTCATTTCCGCTGGACTCAGACTGACACTGCAGGTCTTCATACTGAATGTGCTTCATGTTTCTCCGCTGTTTCCTGTTTATAGATATTTGCTGCAGGTGGATTTGATTTAGCTCAGAAACAGATGTGGTCTTGTTTAGTTTGTCATACCTTCAATAAAATAAAAAAAAACTGTAGAGTCTGACTGGCCATTCTAACTCTATCTTATCTCCTTGTCCTACATTCCTTGCTTTTTTCTGCTTGGTTCCTGCTGCTCTTTGGCATCGCCCAGACCGTCTCTCAGCCTGGATCAGGTCAGACATGGAAACCATTCTGCACCTTGTTGATGCAATTAGGGACATTTTCCCAATGGGATAATTTTTTCTTCTATTTTTTCATAAACAGAGAACCCTGAATGCAGCACTTACAGACACTCAGATCAAGAGGGAGATCCTACAGCCTTGTGACGAAGGTAAGAAGATAATGACAAATGCCTCAAAAGTAACTAAAAAGCAATAGGTGAGCTGTTCCATCAAAGAGCAAATACAGAAGACAGAAGGTCTGTGCTGACTTCTGTCCATCTTAAGAGTATGTGCATGCTACTTTTCAATTATCTGATCATTTTGATGGGTCTGTTGTTGAAAGCTGGAGTGCAGCTTGGCTCAGTTTATTCTAGCATCAGCTACAATACAAAAAAACTATTTCCCTTCCCTCCTGTTTCATCTGTTGTTGTTATACTAACATATTATGGGTGATCAATAGGGTGTAATGCCATACACAGGTTTTTGATGATTTTGTTTATTAAGGAGAAGAACTTTCCAAACAATGCTGGCTCAGTGCGAATATATAACTCTGCCTTTGCCTTTAAATTGTCAATTTAAACTCAATAAAAAAAAATCTATTTCATAACCAATATGTCTCTTCTAGATCTCCACAATCAATGAATCCCTGAGATTTGAACCTGTCTGACAACATGAAGAAGGCGGCCGTTCTCAAAAAGGGATCAAAGCCTGATCTATAATGCAAAAAAGTAATTTTTTTCTTTGAATAAGTATTTTGTCTTGAATTGAGGAGACACTTTGGCCCAAGACAATTTCAATTTAAAATAAGAAAAAACAATGCCGATGTCTTATATCAAGTGCATTTTATCTAACTATCTTATTTTAAGAGTAAAAATACTCATTCTACTGCTAGACCATCTTACTGTATTTACCTTCTCAAATTAAGGGTAAATAAACTACATTTAAGATATTTTTACTTATTTCTAGATCGTTTCTGCAGTGTATGATGCAAGGATCTATCTTTTTTTTGCTTGGATTTTTTTTTAATGTTTTTATATCTTTAACAGTGTCCTTTAAGGAATCTATTATTTATTTTCTTCTGTGTCTTTAATTGTTGTTTTCAGTTCAGTAGGTCTGATCTATAGAGAATCCAAACAAGGAGCATTAAAGTGATGGGGCAAAAGGAATGTGCATGTGAAACAAGCGGGTATGTTGGGGGTGATCTATAAAGATGTTGTACACAAAAGGATAAGATGTGTAAACAGGTTTTGAGAAACATGCCTGTGATATGTGGAATCTGAGACTAAAAGATTAATTTTCAAGTCATTTTGATGAATTGGCCTAAAGAAAGTTCTCCTGCTAACAGTGTTACAAGTCTTTAGTTATTTACTTGTTCAACAGAAACGCTCCTCCTAAAGGTGATGCTGTTTTGCTGTGTATTCATCCTGTGCATAGGAGGCGTTTGGTGAGAAGGGGGGTGTAAGGGTGGGGTCCCAGCTGGAGTAGAGGTAGAGAGAGGTGTACCTTGTCACACTTCCTGCTTTTGGTCTAACAAGCATGCAGCTGTTTAAACCGATGAACACGACGTCTCAGAATGGATGAACCTGATCTTTAAATGTTCACCGTAATCTTTTTGTGATATTTGATCTTAAAGGTATAGTGGAGGATGTTCTTTTTCCGTTTGCATCATCTAAATAAGTGGTCCTCCTAACTATCAATCATTCTGTTGATATGTTTACTTAACGTGCTACATGCTCTTCCCTATTTTCACTTACCAGTGATGGGTCTGATATGGTGGGAAAATTGCAAATCTTCTTTTGGAAAGTAAGCTTGTATGAGCGCTACAAACAGGAATTTTTAAACAGACGTGCACAAGGAGAAATGGTCTCATGCACGCTGTTGCAAGCGGTTAATATGCGTTCCCTCTCTGGAATGGGTACAGGGTTGTGCATTTGCATTCTTTTTTAAAGTGGAGGGGGCGGGTCTTTTCAAAAATTTGTGAAAATCCTCCACTATATCTTTAATCTCTAAAGCTTCTTTCCACTGAAAATACCAAGTTTACATGTATTTTACAGGAGGAATTTTATTGTTTGTCTTTTAACTCTTCACTACTACAATATGTTATTCTTATACATTTTTCTAAAGTCCACATTTGTGACCTTTTTTTTCTATACTCTTCTTGCTACTGTAAACACCAGAATTTCCCCATTGTGGAACAATAAAGGGATTTTCCATTCTATTCTATTCTATTCTATTCTATTCTATTCTATTCTATTCTATTCTATTCTATTCTATTCTATTCTATTATATCCTATTTTTCAAACATGGGTCGACCCGCTAACAATCGGCATTTGTCTGCCTTCCCACTGGCAGAAAAAGCTGAGTGTTCCCAGGTTTAAAGAGGTTTCTTAACCAGTGGGAAGTGGTTATAAAAGATTCTGGCATTTAGCAAATATGTGTGATATGTGAGTCGATACAATCAACTGGTTTTCCTTAGATAGAAAACTTTGAATCAATTTGACTGTATGATCGAGTGAACCGTAAAGTGCCTTGAGATGGCATGTGTTGTGAATTGTTGCTATATATATATAAACTGGAATTGAAAAAGAAAATTTAATTGAATTGTAATTCATTAACCCAGACCAACCTAAAATAGCAAAAATGTACTTTCATTTGATTCAAGACAAGAAAAGAAACTGCTCGTACTCAAATTCTAGCTATATTTGGGTTCAGATTAATGTTTTTATTTCTCCCTCTGTAGCCAAGAACTCTCAAACCACTCATGGTGCTGAAGACAAAGAAAAGAGCATGATCTCTCAGTGCAAGTTGTCGTCGATACTAAGGGAGGAAGAGGAAGAGCTGCAGGATGACAGAGAAGAGGCGTTGGAGGAAGGGCAGGAAGTGGAAGCAGAGGGGCAGACGGTGCGCGGCGAGGACACACCAGAGGAAGAGGAGGTGAAGGTGGAGTGGCCCTCTGGAGTAACGCAGGCCTCGGATAAAGACCTGGCTAAGCTGTCCAACACTGAAGGGGTAAGAGTTCATTGGTCAGCTGCTCCACCTGCAGCAGTAGATCTGTCTTTTATTAAAGGGGAACAAAAGGACTAGATTTGGTGATAAATATTCCAAAAAAATAGCCCCATCAAGCCACTCACCTTCATTATGTTGTTCCTCCGTCCTTTCCTTCTAGTCTCAGTATAGCTGTTTTAAATCTGTCTCTCTCTCCCTTTTCCTGTTCACTGGTCAACAGCTTTTTTTCCTTTCTGGCGGAAAACCCCACACTCCCCCATCCTATCCAGACCTGCCCTTGTTGTTTCCAAACACTCCCTTGAATGATTTTCCTGGTTCCTCTGTGAGCTCAGCCTCAGCCCATGTTGGCCAAATGTGTTCGATTACAGAGCTGGAGACTGAGCCAAGACACCATGTCCTGGCTCAGATGCTGAGCTGAGGAGGAGTGGTTCTGCACCGAGGTGAAAGCAGAGCTATTCCAAAGCTGGGTAGAGTAGATTAGCATTGCTTCAATTTATTTTAGAAGTTAAAATTATTTGGCAATAGAAGTACAATTTTGTGACATTCCAGTGTTGCAAACTGCTAGAACAACACGTAAAATTTAACCCAAGGAAGAGCAGCATTGCTTCAACATAACATTACAAATAGGTAGAAGTGTGGAAGAGTAAAATACTCAGGAAGTATTTCAGTTTTTGCTAGGGTACTCTAGTAAATATAACTAGTGACTAACCAGATGTGTCTGTCACTAACCCTGAGAGCCTGACATTGATTCATTTAACTTCATGGCTGGTGAGTTATACAGAGCAGGTTGGAGCTGATGGTTCTGATTTGTTGAAAAACTAAATAGAGATAGGAAGCGGATAAATTGCAGCATCAGTTTAGACATGTTGTCAGTAGTGTTGAAACTGGTCGTTGTGCACAAATCAGAAGATTTCTGGATATTTCTAACCCAGTGTCGGCTGCTGCTCTCTGACCCATGGGAGGCTCAATGCTGTTAATTAAATCCAAACGTCCTGTATTGCATTAATAAATGATGAAACACATTAAATACATCACTAAAACGGGTGAGAATAGCTTTTGTGAAGCTCTTTGAAGGAATAAACTCCAGAAACGGCAACAGTTCAGCACAACATGACTGTTCTGACTGAATGAGAACTTTTCCTCTGGACTCATGAGGAAAACCTCTTCGCTGTCTGGCCACTGTTGGTCAAAAAACCTTCAGTATGTTGGCCAATCAGCGAGCAGCCAGCTTCAAGGGCCCGCCCCCTGCTCCATAGACCCCATAAGAGGCTGAGCCTCACTGGAAGTGACGTATTTTGGCGGTTATCTAATCTGGGATACAACAGGGATTTCTGACAGGCGGTGTCCTGCTGCTCCAGAGCGGAGGGGAGATTGCTTCCAAGAGAGGAATAAATAGCTGATGAAAACACAACATACTCATGAAATCATATGAACAACAGTTTAATGACTACTTTATGAGGTTAGACAACACATATTTAACCATTTAAAGAATTAAGAGGAGAGGTGATGTATTTTGGCTCGTTATCCAATCAGGGCTCTACTTTTTTGCTGCTTAATTCAATAGACCGAGGCTCAAACCTTAACAGGTAATCCTCATAGAGAAGGTGTTTCAGGTAGCAGGGAGATCGGGAGCATACTCATGAAATCAGGTGTATTTTAGTGCATATTTAATGCATCTTAATCACTACATTTATGAAGTTAGTCTATGCATATTTGACCAATAATTTACTAAATATACACGGGATGTTTAGCCTCCCTAGTATTCATTGGAAAATCACCACTTTTCTGACCTAATAGAATAATTTAACCCTATAATAAGAGATTAATTAGAGTAACTAAGTAAACTTTATTAAAATAGCCTCTTTCACAGATAAAAATTACAAATCTAATGCCATATGGATTAATGGTGTAACATACTGTTGTGCTTGAAAGTTTGCATACCTTCCCATAAAAAAAAAAAGATAAATTCCAACTAGAAATTCAAATAACACAGAACTTAAAAAGTCATATTTAATGTAATGAATGATAATTTAGTCAAATAAATATTTTATTTAGAATTACTGTTAAAAAATGAGTCTTAAAAAAACAAACAGTCCCAGGCAAATTAAAGTCCCTTGGTCATGAACGTCAAACCCTCATACCTGTTAACAGGTGCAGACGTCTGACTTATTTCCTGAACTTTAAAGAACTATAGATTAATATTGAGGAAGCACGGCACAACCTTCTGGATACACTTCATTTTGCCATATTTATATATCACTAAAATACTTAAAGGAAAGGATGGTTGTGTTAGTGCAAACATACTTATTTTGTTCACTAGTAGCAGACTGCTCAGGCTGTGAAGTGCTCTTTGTGTTTATCTGAGAAATAGTCTTGGAGGAGAAGCTGTCCTCTCTGCACTGCTTTTGGAGTAATTATCTCAGACTTCTGTAATTAAGGAACTGTGTAGAAATTATAACCAAAAATGTAGAGGAACTGAAGCCCCCCCAAGAGCAAGGCAGCTTAAACATGTCAGAGGCTTAAGTTTAAAAAAAGGGTAAATCAACAGTAGAACCTAGTTTATGTAAACATTTCAAAAAGGCTCATCAGGTTCGTTTCTGGGATTTTAAATACACATAATTGCTTGTATGAAACTAGTTTTAACCAAGCTTTTAATGTCGGTGAATGTGCAATATTTGGATTATTATATTCTATTAAAAACAGCTAAAAAAGAAAAATATAATTGTGTATGTAAACTTATGCACATAACTGTACAAAAAAAGTAAACGTTGTAATTATTTAATAAACTAAAAGTCAGTCTACATTAATTAATTACTGTTTGCAAAAAAAACCAAAATATCCATCATTTATAATCTGATACCAGAGAGCAAATCCTTTTGTTTTATTGGCTCCTTATGGAATATGGACATTGCCTGATCAGTACGATCAATTTAAGCCACGCCTCAGCTGCCTAACGTTTGACTGTTATCCCAAAGCCTTGGTTTGGTGAGTCGTTTAAGTGGCTGTAAAGAGCAGAGACGTCATTTATAAAGGTTTTGCACAGGGCCTGAAACTTGATGCTGCATCATTATTGCTTAATTAGGGCGATGAGTAAAATTTGAAGATGAATTCAAAATGAAAATGGACAAAGCTGTTTTTATTTTTTAAATATTATTAATAATTACAACATTTTTAAATCTCTTTTAAATATTTAACGATAAATGTCCTCTCATTATTTATACAAACCCTTTAGTAGATGTAAAAACCTCTATTGGGAAGGTAAAAATCACCAGGTGGTTTTTATATATATTTTTTTAGCTATAATCAGGCTAATGGAGCAACTACAGAAGTTTTTGTTGAAAGAAAAAAAAATATAAAATTAAAGCTGTTATTTTAACAAATGATTAACAAAACTAAACTAACCAGTTTCACGCATGATGAGAACCACTTAATACAAGAACCTCTAATTGACAATCCATCCATTTTCCCTCATGCTTATCACAAACGGGGTCACAGGGGGTGCTGGTGCCTATCTCCAGCTGTCTACGGGTAAGAGGCGGGGTACACCTTCGAATTTAGAGAAGCCAATTAAAGTAACAGTAGTGTTTTTGGACTGTGGGAGGAAGCCGGAGTACCCAGAAAGAACTCACGCATGCTCAGGAACATGCAACCTCCATGCAGAAAAACCAAGACAAGGCAGAAGTGCTACCCACATCTCAACCGAGCAACCCATCCCCTGACTTAATTATTAAAATATTCAAGGGAAAAAAAGAAAACAGTTTTATGACAACAAAAGGAAACATTTACATCCACATTGGATGGATAGAAACAGAGAAACATAATAATCAGCAAAATAATTCTATTCTATTGTGGATATAGTATAGGGATTCCTTCTGTAGAAATTTAAGGAGTTATTTAACTATTGATCTAATACTCCCAACTGATTGATCTCACAGCAATGCTGAAGCATCCTTTGTGCAGCAGAAGATGTTTTAAATGTTCACAGCAATCGGCGTGAATGCTTTAAAGTTTGTTATCAGTTATGGTTTAATCCATGGTACAGATCAGCTTGATCATTGGGGAGAGGAAGGCAATATTGTTCAGACCATGATGTTGACTTACAGGTGTTTTTAACCCCCATCATGTCACTATCTTTGTTTCTAGAGACCCCCTGAGACTAAATTAAGCTTATGCATCATCAGAGTGTCATTAAGCGATGCAACTTTTTTCTGATCAACTATAATTTTTTATTTTACAGAGTAAAACCTCTTCTTAGAAAGAGATAAATTCACATTTCAAACCTTGTTTTGCACTTCCCCTTTATAAATAAAACCCCAGATCAGAGTCCTGCAGGGGTCTGAATTTTCAAAACTGTATCTGACCGCACATGTAGAGATTTTCAAAACTGTATCTGACCGCACATGTAGAGTTCAGAACCAAGAGCTGGAGCAAAAAGAAGTGATCATCTGTCCGAATGATCAATTAACTGAGTTCGCTCTAAAGTCCACCATATACTGTAGGCCCCGCTCTATATAGTGAGTGAGGGATTTAAAGGTTAGGGCGGATGTTTAGGCACAGTAAGCTTGTATGAGTTATGAGAATAGCAACTTTAAAACAATGCGTGCACGAGGAGAAATGGGCTCATGCTTGCGATCGCACGTGCATTTTCTTCAACATGGAGAGGGCGGATCTGTTAAAAAATTTATGTAAATCCTCCACAATAACTTAAAAATAATACTGTTATCTGGCTATTCTTGAATCAGGTTATTTTTTTAAGATGTTAATAAATAAGAAAATATAAATAGGTTTAACTCATGCTCTAACCTTCTGTATGATACCTGTCCACATTTTGTTCATTTATACCCGCACCCATGAAATATTGTTTTTTTTTACCCGTAGATGTACATTTTGTACAGTTAGCAGCCGATACCTGTGGGTACCTGACTGGTGCACGACTCTGCCCCAGTTTATTTGTGGTTATCCTTCCACTCGACTTTCTCAAACCACTTTGTAAAACTCTCTCATGTTTCTATGTTTCTCTAAGGGAAAGGAAGTGTTTTATCTTTTCATTATATTTAACATTTAGATGTGCCTCTGCTTTTCCTCTTCCTAATGCCACTCCTGTGTGAAATCATAAAAAACCGTCATGAAGGGAGTGATTTGGTCAGACTCCATATGGACTTGTAATTAATAAGAGGATTTATGGTGTGTTTGATAAGCTGCTCCTTAGCTTTAAGTCTTGGTTCAGGGTGTGTTTGTTTTGGTCAAAGTAGCTGCAGTTCAGGACGCTTTCCAAAGGTCATGCAGTATGCCATTATACAAGGTCTGTGGAGTGAGACTGCTGATCACGGCAATATTTACCCTTCAGCTGACACCCTGACCTTACCGATTAACTTACTCTGACATTATTGCAGCACATGGAGGCTGATCGCTTGACAGATGGCTTCGTTTCAGCGGTGGGTATACATCTGTTACATTGATTTATCTTCTTGCCCTTTGAGATGTTTCCAGATAAGAAGCCTGGTTTAAAGCTTTAGTTTTGATCTTTGCTGCCTGACCTCCTTTGACTGCCTCATGTATAAAAACCCACTTTAGAAATATAGATTTGATAAAAAGAGGAAATGTAAACCTCCATTCTGTGTCCTTTAGAGCTCCTCCTCGGATGGCCTGGTCTCCATTCTTAAGAGGAGGCGAGCCTCACTAGATGGACTTCCTCCTCAGAGTGACAGTGCAGATAAGCAGAACTCTAGACGCAAAGTTCGCTTCAGCGAGCCAGAGGACGGCTTAGACCAAGGTGGAGTAAAACAATCCCAAACACTCAGTCTATGTTCTCTACATCTATGCCTCTAACATGTCTTTTCCTTGTAGATGAGCTTGGAGGTGATTCCTGTCTTATCCTACTGCTGCTGTGTCTGATCACTGTGGTGATCAGCATAGGTGGGACTGCGCTCTACTGCACTCTGGTGGATACTTACTCCAACATCTGCACCGACTTCACCCAGAACGTCGACTTCTACATCACAAATGCTCGGGGCTTCCTGGAAGGCCTCGGGCAGTGGCTCCCCCTACAGACTTAGACCCAAATGGGTTTTCTTCCTGTAACAGAAGAGACTTCAGTGAAAAGGCAACAGGAGACGTGGTGGGACATCCACGACCTGCTGCTGTTCCAGAGAGTTTCACTCTCACTGTTTACTAGACACATGCACAAACAGTGCCTTGCAAAAGAATCCATAACCATGAACTTTTAAAGTTTTTAGCACATTAGAGCTTCTAACTTAGTTAATTTTAGTGGAATTTAAGGTGATAGACCTGCACAAAATTACATATTATTGTAAAGTAACAGATAAAATAAGTAAATTAAAATGCTGGAAACAAAGAGCAGCAGTTCTTAGGTTATATGGGTTTGCATTTCAGGAAACTAATTTGGATTTAGGTGAAAATTTTGATGAAGACCATCTAGCATGAGTGTCCACTGATCTAAACTAATAACTGTAGCTCTAGGTGTAGCTTTATACTCACATCCACAGGTTTCTTCCATTATTTCTCTCCATCTGCTGCCTCCCATCTCGCCATCAAATCCCTTTAGAGTGACGCTGCCATGTTTAGTTTTAGGAGTTAATGTCTTCAGCCTGATATGTGGTGTTCATTTTCCACCACATGTTTTTAGATTCAATCCAATAGTTTTAATTTTGTGATACATTTACTGTTTTCTTATTTTTGAGGCAAAGAAAAGCAGGATTTTTTTTAGATCTTACAACAACTTGTCACCTAAAAAGCCCTAAAAAAACGTGCCACACTTGGTTGATGAGTTTTTATTGCTAACATTGTAAAACCATGCAGCCCTTCCCTTCCACTATACAATAATGTACCAGTTAGTGTTGATCTGTTAAGTATAATACTTATAGAATAAGGCAAACATCACGACAAAATGCAGAGTAAATGTATTCTTTGCAAGGCACTGTAACTGAATAGGTGCTCAACCGTGTCAATACCAACAAGTTCACCTCACCAAATGTTGTAAATATTGTGTAACTAGGCTGCAAGTCTGGATGCCGCTGAGGAGGGCTGGAGACTCTCCACAGTACGTAGATTAAAACAGAAGCCATTGATGTGTCTTGTCTTTTCCTCACACTCCTGCAGCATTTGTAACAGCGTTTAAATGTTCGATGTTACCTCAGAGAAACTGCCTTTAGAAACACTTGCATCACGTTTCTAATTATTCTTCTTTTTCTTTTTCAACGAACAGGGTATTTTTTTTATTTTATTCATTAAACTACCTCTCATCAGATCATGTTTTTTTTCCCTCCTAGATGCAATAGTAAAAAAGCCAAAATGTCTAGAATTGATTCTTTAGGATCAACACTGACAGCAGTTGCTGTTTGCCTGAAAACACTAAAAACAAAATATTTTCCTCACTATGTGTGTAGTTTAGCTCTTAAATGACTCCTACACTGAAAAAAAATATCACAATCTAGATAAGTAATTTTTTCTTAAAATAAGTGCATTTGTTCTTGAATTGAGGAGATAAAAGATAAATTTTGCCAATGTGACAAGACATTTTTAATTAAAATTAATAAAATACAATTGCATTGTCTTATTTCAAGTGCATTTTATCTAATGATCTTATTTTAAGAGTAAAAATACTCATTACATTGGCAAATTATCTCATGTACCTATTCAAATAAAAGGTAAATAAACTCTTTACTTATTCCTAGATTGTTTTTCCACAGTAAAATGACAAAATCGTGATTTTTTTGTGGCTTTTGGTATAAAAATATGTCACAGATAATAGATAATTTCCCCATCTCCCTAATTTAAAAATGTAAAATTTATTTACATTTCTACAATTAACCCCTACATAGTTTTGGATGCAATGTAAACCCACGTTATGCTGCATTCACAGATACAAATCATTGTAGGTGTTTGTCAGAATAAAAATAGCCCAGCTCTGTCAGATGGGTTGGAAACTTTAACTAGGCCTTTCTAACATATAAATATGTTGTGATTTAAAGCATTCCAGTGTGTCTCTCTAGCTTCATGTTTACGTTGGTTCTGCTTGAAGGTGTCTTTGCAGCTGCAGTACTTTGTGTTTATGATGCTGCAGATTAGAGTCTCTCCTTCAACCTTTATGACCGGCAGACGGCACTATGGAGATAAGACAGGCTGTCCACTTTATCACTGAGCTTTTATTTAAGGTTTCATTGGTTATATAACACTAGATGTGCATCAAGTGTTGATCTGGTATCGTTTTTCCTTTGTGTACACATAGATAATCAGTTATAGAGACGCGTGACACTGGGATGGCAGAGCCTCCCTTCTCTTAGATTGTTAGATTAACCAGACAGAGAACAACAGAGGAGCAAGAGAGTGACTGAAAAAGAAAAACAGCTATTTCAAATGTAACAATTAAAAAATCTAGTTAATGAATATTAAATGTAATTATTAAAGAGAATTGTAAATTGCATTTATTATTCCATCAATAAAGATTGAAAATGTATTTTCAAATCATATTTAAAAAGGTGGATTTAAAAATTACAATTCTTAAATCTGATTATAAATATGGTTTCTTATTACGTGTTTAAAATGGCAATTCCTTATTCCATTTCTATTTTCTTTTTTACCTTGCATTTTTAAATCTGTTTTGCTTTTGCATTTTCTTATAGGTAACATTATTCAAATGGGGTTTGTAATTGTATGATTTAAATGTTAAATTTGAAATGGCTGTTTTTTCTTTTTTAGTGGCTCTCCTGGTCCTCCGTAGCACAGGTTTAAAAACAGCACTAGATTCTACTAATCTTAAGTTTATCTTCTTTGGTCCTTCAAGTGAATCATTTCCTTAAAATTTCCCTCTTTCACCTCCTAAACTCCAAAACTAGAAAGTTTGATGCACATCCCATATTTTTACCTTTTTTTCCCTCAAAGTTTTATCAGTAACTATTGTTTTATTTCACATAGAAATTCACTTTAATTGTAAAATATTACAATAAACAAGTTTTTGATAGGTTGTGTGTGTTTACATCGCCTTTTCTTATTGTTTGTGTAATTCACAGTGTTGGCCACACGGGGTCACTGTACTCTAATAAATGCACTCAGGCTGCCAAACAAACTCTCATCTGTTAGGTTAAAGGTTACAAAAGGGTTTTGCTTCTAATAAAAATCAAATAGTGGCAGAACATCAACACAGATGGATTTAAACCCACAAAAGTCTGTTTAGAGTGAAAATGGAAATCAGAAACAGAATCTTTAGATGCTGCGCTGGAAGAGTTCAGAAATACTTAGAGTATTAGTCATTGTTTGCTTCCTCCACAGCTGTTTCTATAATAGTTTGGTCCTCACTGAGTCAAACCTTAAATTATGTTACTCAAACATAAAAGAAACTAAAACTGAATTAGATTGTCTTAGAATATGAGTTGTATCTGTTAAAGGAGACAGAGCTTTGGATCTTCTGGCTCTTTGACGTCACTCCTCTACAAACAGAGCAGGATACAGACATGCTTGGTTCACTGCACTTTTGAGCGACTACTGTATATACCCAACTGTAACCAAAAAAAAAAAAAAAAAAAAAAAGTCTTGTCTCTTAAAAATTAAAGCTTGCCCATGCATACTGTTCCTCTGGAATTAAATATTTATCTTATCTTAATTAGATATAAAAGGTCTTAACAAATTCAGGGAAAAGCCTCCATCTGGACTTATATAGTATATTATTGAAAGATAAAAGGTTGTTTGAAATATTTCTTCCTGTTACACCTAAAGAGCATTTGAAATTCTTCTTCTATGTTAAAAAGCCTTCCTTTAGAGGTTGTTTTCTGGGGTCTCATTCTAATCCGTGGGGCTGCCTATGCGTGAACAATAACAAACTTTAACAGACAATTCTGGCTTTTTGAGAAATAGCCAATGTATGCTTCTGCAGGTCTTCTGGCTTTCCTGACAGCAGGCGGAGGTCTTCAACAAGGGGTCCAACAATAGAGTGACTATAGGACCAGTTTGATATACCGGTAACTCAATTTCATACAATATATATATCTAGGGGGCCCCCGCCCCCCGCTCCCTCTCGCCATCATTTTGGGTTCCTTGGCCTGGAAAACGTTGAAGAACTCTGCCTTAAGGAATTAAATTGAATGATAAAAGACAACATTCCCCATCAGATACGCCTCTCTGGATGGACGGGGCGACACAGCCGCCCTAAATTCCCAGTGGAGCTGACATCTGCTGCTCAGGTTTAGCTGATATTCCAGTGTTTGAATGTTATTCCTTAGACAGAAGAATGTCATTTGGATGTTTCCATCATCGCACCAGACAGACTTCAGATACCTAAAATATTCAAGCAGTCCAGTCCTGAGGAGGTAAACACCAACCTGCTCCTATTTCTAAGACACAGTCTCTTATTATCACGTGTTTCAGCCTGTCTGACTTTAGCTTTTTTCCTTGATAATTTTAAAGCTGCTCCAAATTTTAGGCCCAGCTGATTGTAAAGAACGTCATGTTCTGCCACATAGCATTGGTTTCACACTCTGAAGGAGTTTTATCAGCCTTTCTATTGCTTGGGCTGACAGCTCACCCACTGGGTCAATGTTTCCTGTCAGTCAGCCTGGAGCAGCAGCTCGGTATCACCTGCAGACTCTCTTTGTTTTCTAAGCTGCAAAGAAACCAAATGCTTATTCTACAGAGGTACTGATCCCATCTGTTTTTGCATTCAAGACTTGAAACATTTTTTAAAAATAAAACTCTACAGCTGCTGCAGGACTGGAAACAGGTGTCAGGTTGGGTGGAGCTTCGTTAAGGTCCCAAATACAGAGATGAGGGAGGCAGAGAGTTCTTACAGGTTTAATGAAATCAAAAAAGCAACAGAAACAAAATCCAAGAAATCAAAATACAGGAAAAACAAAAACCAGGAGACATCAGGGAAAAACACACAGGGGGAGCCAAGTAACAACAAGAAACCAGCAATGATGAACTGCAGAGGTGGTGTATATATGGGGAACAGAGCTGATATGGAGCAGGTGTGAATAGAACTAACTAGAAGGGAGCCAATGGGAAAGGAGACAGGCACAAGGGGGCGACAGAGAGTAACTCAAAAAATACAACATGGCTTAAATATAGCACAAAATGGAAAATGAACCAATGATCAACAAAACATATGACATAGAAAACTCAAAACTCAAAGTCCAAAACGGGAGAACCATAACATTGGCATCTCTTATTTAAATTCCCCCTTTTTTTTATTTTTAATGCCATGTCTTTACTGTTAACAACTTTGAGAATCTGCTTTTTTATTAACAGGTATCCATTTCTACAATCTTCCATCCAGAACTGCAATCTGCTGTGAAAAAGAACTTGTTCCTTTGATGAAAAAGGGACAAATCTGTATCAGAATTCTGTTTCCTTGTTTGGCTTCTGGGATTTAGGAGAAATTTTGAGACGTTTTTAAAGACATCTGTTTCCTTAAAACGAACACAGCTGAACTACCTCCTACTAGCCGTGCAGGAGGTCTCCTGGCAGCGAGAAAAGGACCTCTGCATCAGAGAGAGGGAGGCTTGGCTGCAGGCCGGCAGACATGTTAGGAGCCAAAGCCAGAAAGAGAAGCAGCTATTACTAAGGGATTACTGTCTGGATAAAACAGCCAGAGCATGAGTAGCAGTATTTTCTTTGGAGTGAAGCACTTATTGGCAGAAAGCCATGAAAAGGTGACGCATGCAGAGTGGAGGGTTTTCT